TGTACTAATATAAATATTAATATTAAATATGAATTATAATTGCGAAAATAATAAGTCATTTTTGTTTTCTAATTGCAGTTACAACAGTATTTATCCATATCAAACATTACTCCGTATCTTATAAAATTAGAATCTATAATTGACAAATATGTTACCAGTGTTGAATTATTACCTACAAAGAAGTCATGTTTATCTGATATAAGTATTTTCTCATTAGTCGCGAAACTGTTGACTGGCGAATTATTAGGTTACGAATCTGTTGATCCTAAGTATGTTTTAATGGAGAACATGCCTAAAAAGCCTGTTTTCATTATTAAGAACGTTAAACGCAAAACTATTTATCCTTATTATCCAACATAAGAAATGTACGGAGTACGTACATGTTCTTAATTTCAAAATTGTTTATTATTTAAAAATTCTAAAAATAAATCACTGTATTTAGAATAATGTAAATAATTATTAACAGCAAATAAGAATGAATTTAATTAGTTAATATCTTTATTTACTTAATGACTGATATTTGGCAACGTGTTGCACATTGGGCAAATAGAATTTACATCAATAAAAGTATACAAGTCCTTACCGATACTATACACGATATAAGTATATTAATTTACAATATACAAACATACAATATTAAATCCTGCCAAGCAGAAAAATGTCTTAAATACCGGGATTCGATAACTAATGGAATATATAATAAAATGAATGGTACAGTATTGTATGTATAAAATGGAGCCTCGTTAGAAACGATTATAATTTAATTTTTCATATGGAATATGATAACAGAACAATATGATGTTCATGGAATGAAAAAAAGAGATCCGATGTAATATACACGTATAACAGACCGCAGTCATTTCTATTAGTGGACTGCTACACACCAGTGATAAGTGTGATATTAAATTTTGATATTCAAAGACTAGATTAAAAAATACCCTCAAGATCTGGTAAAGAAGAAGGTGGTGCAAGTCTTAAAGAAAAATCTTTATTGCGCATAAATTCCGGTGGTAGAATTTGTTTATATTCCTGCAAAAGAATAAATTTCAATGTTAATATAAAATACCAACAATATCTGCATATATGTATATAATATTTTTATGTGAAAACAAAATCCAAATATTACTTACATGGAATGACTTCGTAGTATGTATGATATTAGTTACAACAGGTGCCCATCCCTTTAAATTTAAACATTTATAACAAGATTTAGGTTCTCCCAGACATTCTGAATGAAATCCATGACCACAATTGAAAACAATTATATAGTCTGTGCATTGCGACAACAAATGTCTACATACGGGGCAGGTTACTGATACGCTGGCACAAGCTCTACTTGCGCCTCTAAAAGATAAAAATGTTAGTATTAAAAAATTAATTATTGATACCAAATTAATGGATTTAGTAATATGAATTATGAAGATTAATTCTTTAATACCTAAGTGATTTTTTCAGTGCCATATGAAGCTCTAAACTGACTAAACGTGCCGCAGTTTCAATTAAAGTTTGTTCATATCGAGAATGCGTGAGTACTCCAGATAGTAACTGTCTTATATCGCCTATCGTTCCACTTGTTGCCAATGGATGTTTTAATATTTGTTCTAATACAGTGGATAATGCTGTTGTACCACTAAGAAATTCTAATGCAATCCTCAATAGTTTTCCACTTAATTTTTCAGCTGTAATTTAATTATATTCATATTATTAAAAATTATTATTAATTATTTTATGATATTTTACATTAATATCAAAATATAGTATACCTTTTTCATCATTAATATTTGAATGTGTTTTAAGAATAGTTTCTATAAGTGGCATCCAATCTAAATTTCCAGCAGACCGTCTGCATATTCCCGCAAGTTGTATTGCACTATGAATTGGTGCATTTTCTGAAACCTTGTCTTGACAGTACTGAAAATAATTTTTTATTACAGTGGAAACTAGTGATTAATATTGCTAGAATACTCTGAAATCGCATACCTACCAAGTCAAGATTATTTTGAAATTCTTTTATAAGAATATCAAAAGCATCTTGATAATTTCCCAATTTTTCTAACATTACTGCTTCAGCATCTTTATGGTGTGTTTTCTGAACTATCTGTAATGCTTCATTCAATCTACAACCATGAATTCCTTGAATATGTTCAATTACCTATAATTTAAAAAATAATGTTATAAATAATATATTTTAAAACCTTATTAGAATATAAATTTTTACTTACATGGTCTGGCTGTAATTCACACATTAATTCTAAATATTTTTCTAACATTTCAGTGGTAAGCTCTAACGTGATATCTTCTTCTTTGTATTGTACTATTTGATATAGAGCTTCTAATAGAGCATATTGTAGGTTTGGAGTACTTTCTAGTTTTTGCAATATCTCAGCAACATTATTTTGTAAATGTGTTGCTATAAGCATAGCAAATTGGTTTGCATTGATTTCCACTAGAGCTTCGGCATTTGCCATTACAACTGTTTGCAAATAATTCGGGGAAAGATGTTTCAACCATACCCAAATGTCATGATGTCTAGATGAATGCAATATCATACATTTGCAAACTGCAATCCAATCTTCTCTCGCGCTGTATAATAACTCCGCAACTCGCATACTGTAACATTACATACTGCGATACAAGTTACTATGTATGATACCATTAAAATGCTATACAATTTCTCGGAATGAGGTATTAAAAGATTGACACTATAACGTTTTTATTATAAATATATTCGAATATGCTAATAAATATATGATACATAATTAAAATTAGATAATGAGGTACATATGTTACAAAATTAAAATGAATAGTATATTATATTGATTTATAATATTTCAACTTCATACATTTATATTTATGCATATACTTACAAATTAGCTCTCTCTGCCAAATTAAGTAATGCACTATCCGATATATTCCGTAATTTTTTTGAACGCAGCAAACCCAGTATTGCATTTTCTTTATCAGTCTTAAGTTCTTTTGATGATCCCATGCTTGAGTCAGTACACAATATTTCTATTATCTTATTTAACATACTAGGTTCTAAATTAACAGTATTTTCTGCAACTTCATTAGCTATAAATATAAGAACTAGATTTCTTTGTTCATCTGTAATGTAATCAGGATTTCTTGGGCTTAATGGTGTGCTAGGCATAACGATATTTAATAATATATCTATGAGTCTCTGTCGTTGTCTGAGACCCATTTCAGATGTGAATTCAGGTTCTTGGAAAGCGATAGCTATCACGTCAAGAAATCCTTTTGCATCAAACTGAAGCAAAGTTCTTAAGTACGGATATTGCCTTTCTGTATCATTAGCCAAACTTGAATGCTGCGAAAGTAACGCTCTTAGTACATCTGTTTTTGCTCTTTGAGACATGCCCTCAGGAAGTTCATCTCTAGGAAAACCACGTCCGGCAAAACAACAACTAGTATACACCAAAAGTGCATTGCCAAGTTGTATACTATCTCGGGTTAACGAATCCTTTGAATTTGTTAATGTACTTTGTAAAATCGGCACTAATTGATGAATTGGAGCGGTGAAATCACCTAACGCCGTCGTTTGAAGATGTATTAAAGCTTCCCAGAGACCTCGTTGGCGACAAATTGTCGTTACCTACGGTATTTTCAAAAACAAGTAAGCATTTTTAGGGTAAATTTCAACAAACTGTTTTATATCCCATTAAAGAAAGACATTTACAAAATATAAATATTTCCACTTACCTGATGGATATCCAAACAATCAACATCTAATAATACTATAATTGCTTGAAGTGAATCTACTTTGTCCTCTTGATCATAAAGGATAACTAGTTGTTGAGCAATTAATGGTGGTAATCGCGGTCGTAAACTTCCATCTAATAAAGGACTTTCGAGAGAATGTAAATAACTAGCCTTTAGTCCCTCAGATTCCGAAACTAAATCCCATAATTTTCCAAATAATAAATCTGTATTTTCTAATTGTATACAATAATCTACACAAGTTGTGACTATTTCAAACTCTGCATTTTCATCTGCAGGGCAATGATTCAATTCTTCCATGTATTGAATCAAAACTTGACATACTTTATCACGAGCTATTTGCTTACGACGTTGTTTCGAGCCACGGAGACCAACAACTGCTTTTCCTTTGTCATGATAAAAAGAAAGTCCTAATGCTAACGCTTCGGGAAATCTTTTCTGAAAGTAGAGAAAATAATATAAGAATATGAAAAATGAAATATACTCTAATATACAAACCTGCATTGTCAGATGTCTCAATCGTTCCGTCCATGTCCGTATACAAACTACATGTAAACTTTTAGTACCTAATAATAAAAGTTGTGTACCAGATGTTACTACAGTATTATAACACGCTCTTTCACCAGCCAATGCCATAGCCTGATTTTAAAAATAAAAGATATAATCAATTTTAATTTAATAAATAATTTATACGACAGTTTAATTAATCAATACCTTTGAAACATTTCCACCAGTAGACAGACCTTTGAAGTGGCTAGATGCATATGAAATGCCAACGCGACTCATATCTAAAGTTTCCAAATTATCCTGTGCTCTTACATCTAATAAATGTAATCTTTCTTGAGTATCCAATACTGCCAATGACCTTGGATTTAACCATCGCAAGTTACTTATTGTGTATGGAAGGGTCATCCTTCTTAAGGGAGATAATTTTACTCTTGAACTAGCTTCGGTACATACCTGATGAAAAAATTCGATGTATATATAAATTTGTTAATGATGTAACGATTCATTAAACAACATTATATAATGTTATATAAAATTAATACTTGATAAAAGTGAACCACATCGTCTCTTGCAAGAGCCAAAACGGGATCGATTACACGAGAAGCATCTGCTGCTTGTATAACAACAAGCTGCCAAGATAATTGTGGTGGTGCTATAGGAGCACCAGATAAAGGATGAGTCAACACAACACGCATTCGTGGTCTTATGCAAACTACTATTACCTAAAAATTTCAAATAATGTAAAAAATTATATATACATATGGAATGTTTTAAATTTTATTTAATAACAGACAGAGAACCTTTGATAATGTTGCCATTGCTACTAAAGTATAATTTTTCAGGGGATGTGATGGCAGATGATTTAACAATAGAGGTTCCAATGTACACACTTCACCTCTAGATCCACTAAATAAACACCTGCTATCACAGCCTCTTACTCCCATAACTCTTGTAAAGTTTAACTCGAAAACGGACCCACCACTGTCACTACATAATGCTACTTTTGGTGAATCTGTGAACTATAAGAAAGTTATTTTTTATCAATAAAAGGTAAATAAAAGTATATGTCAAACACTAAAATGTAGCAAGCTAATCTCACTTTAACATGTAACACAGCTGTGTCAAGGGGATGAACATCAGTGAGTGTCCTTAATACTTTCCCATTAGAACTATCTATCATTAATATATGACCTCTAGCAAAACCAACTAGTACCCTGCTTCCATCATAATTAAAACATAGTGCAGACACAGATCCCTGATGTCTTGCTTCCTGATCACACCATCTTAAAGTCTGTGAAGAGTCAAAGCCCAATACCAAACCATGACTAGTACCAACTACTAACATATTTCCTGCAGCAGCAACTGCACTTGCTAAACCAGCATTGACTTTCTCCTATATAAATACAATTAAAATTAATATATTATGTAATCATTATAATTATTGGTTAAAAAAAAAACATTTTCCCTTACACTAGCTGACACAATTTGTGATGATATCCCTTTTAATATCACATGTCTCAAAATAGCACCAGAAGATGTTGGTTGTGAAGTTTTGTTCGATTTGTTTAAAGAATTTAATGATAAATGGCTTCCCACACTTGTTGTTTCACTACTTCCTAATTTTTCACCTAGTGTTAAACCAAACTCATCCTCTGTTCCAGATAACGATGCACAGTCAGGCTCTGTTAATATACTTTCTAACGAGGGTAATTCTTCCACAGCTGGAATAGCATATTCTGTGTTGTCTAACTAAAATTAGAGAATATAATGTAAACTTTAATGGTATTAATCATAGAAATTGATAATTTACCTAATAAAATGATTACATTTATTTTTATAGTCACTCTTATACAACTCAAGTGAAAGTAAAAAATAGAAAAAGCACATATAATAATTAAAAAATAGTGTAGAGATAAGTTCTAACACTCTAGGTATTCTTATAACGAACATATTTAATTACCTCTTCAATATCTAAATTAATAACGTCAGCTGCAAGGTATTCTTGAGATCCAGCATCCGACCCCAACCCATTTTCAGCCATTTTTTATCCCACCTGTCATTCCACAGCTGATACACGTAAATATAGCGGTCTCTCATTCAACTATAGAAGATAAATGATGGTAGAGTCCACTATATGTATGTCCATATACATATATGTATATATTTATTATATCACAGACGAGGTACGGAATAGACCTATCATCTTATGGGACTTTAAGTTACACGTTCTGAAATACCGATCGTGTATAGAAATAGAGGTTTTATTATATCCTTTACTATAATAGAGCGCTGAATTTAGGAATTATATACAGTACAACCATTAAATAGGGTAAATCTACAGATGTACCAGATCCTCTTTTGTTAAATCTGCATATAAAGATATTTACATATATTGGATTACGTGGGTATAACCACGAACGGAGTACAGGATAGACCTAACACCTAACGCATTTTTTCGTCCACGTCAGGAGGGCTGAGAGTGCCCTTACCATTTTCGTGTCGCCCCCAACGTTACCGATTCCACATAGAATAAGATTACAACATTAGTAGTGATTGGAATTATAAATAAATGTAACTACAAAATTATAAATAAGGTATAGAACAAAATATGTACTATATATTCATACACGAAGTATAGAATTCGATACTTCTAAATGTATAATATAAGCATTAGGTAAAATTTCGGAACTATTTCGATTATTAAGCGTTCCTAACGATATGTTTTATAAAAAGAGTGTTTTATAAAAGGAAATGGATGTGGTGTGTGAGGGAGAAATGGATAGACTATAAAATACTGTGAAATAACACTGGTATACTGTAACCTTTTGTAAAATACATTTTGTACACTTATTTTACAATAAATAATTTATTTTTGGATAAATAATTGAATTTCTTCTTTTTTCCTGATGTTCAAGACATTTCCTCGATTTCTAGAGTGTCCTCGAAGGTCCATCTGTAATTCATACGAAGAGAACATTAATTTTCAAACGTTAAATAAGAGTGATAAACAATTTCTTACTAATCTACTGAATACAATGGTTAATTCAATGCAAAATAAAAATATATATTGTTATTTAACAAGAAGTACTAATTATTCCACAATTAAAGTGCTTGTAAATAAAATAGAAACTTTATTTTACTATCTACGTATTAGTAATGTTAAAGCAATTAGATATTTATTATAAGTATGAATTTTGATCTGCTTTGTACATGCAATTATGCTCGAATTTACAATAAATATTATTGGAAGCGAAAAATTCAAAGAATTTTCATTATACTGGTATAAAAAATATGAGAACGTAATTTTTCATTAGTGGATGATTTATCCCATGTGTATGTTCTACTGCTTTCGAGAGATCGTCAAAGTCCTACTTACGCAATACAATATGTATACAGGGTGTCCCATAACTCCTCGAACACCCGGAAATGGGGGGTTGCTGGGGTGACTCTGAACAACTTTTTCCTTTACCAAAATGTTGTTTGAAGCTTCATTTTTAAATTATTAACGAAAAACACTGGCCAATCAGAGCGCGCGTAGAGCCCGCGCTCAGGGACGAAGAACGGAGGCTCATCCGCGCGCGATCGAACAAATGCACAGCGTGACTTCTCGGTTATCGGTCGCTGTCAAAAAAATTTGAACAGCAACATTTTGGTTGAAACAATCAAACAACATTTTGGTAAAGGAAAAAGTTGGTCAGAGTCACCCCGGCAACACCCCATTTCCGGGTGTTCGAGGAGTTAAGGGACACCCTATACATATGTATCTCCGTATCTTTATACAATATATATTTAACAAAAGAAGATTTTTTTCATCTGTCGACTTTACTATCTTTGATGATTTTACTGTATTCCTTTTATTTTTAATCTCACCGTTTTATACGGAAAAGGGCAAACAAAACTTCTGATCTTTTACACGATAGGTATTTCAAAACGTTGAACACAAAAATACAGTAGGCGTTATATCTAATCCTGCATACTTCGTTTGTGATTTAACGTACCAGATGAATTATTATTTTGGTTTTATGTGAAATGCAGTACGATGTTAATTATCACTTCAAAATGTTCCCTTGTTAGGTTATCAGAAATTTGACTTGATCTTTTAACAGTTTAACGTTTAATGTGTCAATAATTGGGCTGAGTTCGTAAAAAATCTATGTCATAAATAGTGGCAGAAAGTGTCCAAAGATATGAAATGTTTCGAAACGAGAACCCCTGACCGAATAGTTCCGAGCATTGCCGAACGCTCCCGACCACCGTTCTTAAGCGCAACGAGAATCATGTGCAAAACGAACGTTTATGTTGAAAAGAATTGTGTTTCTGTAAGTTGAAAGTGAATATAAGTGATATCGAGAAGTGTATGTCGTTGATTTATTGTGTAATTTGGTGTTCTATGTTAATCGAATTGTCGATTTCTTGAGAGCAAAGATTGGCATATTACAAAACGTCTGAACGTTTGAAATACTGAACGTTTCTTCGAAATTTACACTGCCAAACACTTTGAACAAGATGTTTCGTTTGTCAATAGAGACCTTATAAAGGCTGAAAATGAATACTACGTAATGTGTGTCATTGCCATCTGTTCCTAAGACGACGTGTCCATCTAAGAGTCTTTTACGATAGTTGCTCTCGAGAGTACTCTCAAATTGTGTGTCCGGCTCTCTACCAGCATTCGCACTACCATAGACACTAATAAATTTGACTCTTGAGAGTAACTCACGTATTACTGAACGTCTTTTCGAAATTTCCACTGCTAAACACTTTGAACAAGGTGTTTCGTGTGGCAATAGAAATCTTTTAAAGATTAAAAGTGTCTACTGCGCAATTGAAATAGTTGCTCTCGAGAGTACTCTCAAACTGTGTCCAGTTCTCTGCAAGCACTCGCAATACCATAGATACTAATTTTCTCTCTCGAGAGCAACTCGCGATAAGTTTACTCTCAAATGAACACGTATCCTAACATTGATCAAATCAGCAAATTAAAATGTGAACATTATTGTAATTGTGTTGGAGATTATTGGGTTTTTGAGCAATTAAAATGCGTTGAAGGAACTCTGGTGTATCTGGACGATTAATTTATTTCGAAATACTCTGGATTTTAAAGTTTGGCCGCAAAAAAAAAGTGAAGCATCACACTGGTGTATGTGACATAGAAATTATGACGTATCCGTTTATTATCAAGGAAAATGAAACAGGATTAAAGTATAATTAACGCCAGAATATTATATGATATGCATTTGGAAATTTTCGAATAAGTGGGCTAGTAGTGGGGTTACCCCCACTCCTATCCAGTTTCCTAGCAACGACACACGTGGATTCGTCAGTTGCTTCTGGACGTCGTCGAGAGTGGACGTGGCGACTACTTGTCTGATAAGAAGGTATTATTATAAATTTAGTTTATCAATCTCTAAGTGTTTCTAATCATTCCTTTAGCTTATACTTGTTTAATTTTCCTTAAATTAAAGGTTTGTTTATTCTGTTACAGGTTTTTGACTGTTCTAAATATTCGAGAATAAGGAACATTCAAACGACGCCGTACTAACGCCATGGCATCTCGTATTCGAAATCGGCTGAAACAGCAGGAAATGGATAGGAGTAATTGTGTAAATGGACACGTAATCTTTTAATTTATTTCTATCGAATAACTGCTGAACGAGTGGGACATAAATTGTTATATAAAATCGAAGAATATTTCAATGGATTTATCGTGTGTACCTTCAACGTGAAAAACATACGCGACCGCGAAACTTGTGTTTACAAAAACTCGTAAACACAGCGGCCGTATCGGTCGTTGATCCAATTAGCGGTGAAGAGCGCAGCTGCGTCGAGGCATAGTTTTTCAATGTGAACTTCTCAGAATTGTTATTCGCCTTGAAATTTCCGAAACACGCAACTGCGAAGCGTGCTCTGCCCCACCAGCGGTTGTAGAGGACAATGTCACGATATACATATCAAGGAACAGTCATTCAGTTACCGACCTTCGAGTCGGCAAGACGTGTTATTCACATTCGCGTATTCTATCATTTCTGGTACTTATCTTACGATCACTACACTCTCTTACTACCTTCGTTTAATGAATTAATACACTTTCCTTTGATACTTCATCGATCTTCTTTGTTTTATTTTTTTTTTCTCGCGTTCAATTAGCTTTGGATCATATAAACTTCTGCAATAGAGTTCGAATTAAACTAATCATTTAATTATAACGCCATTTCATTTCTATTCCATACACATATTATTAATTAATATTTTTCTTCTGTTAAGATATCTGGTTGATGATGAGAGGAGAGGGAGGAAGCAGAGACTAGTCTCATGGCAACGTTTATGGGTTTGATGAATAATTGGTAATATTTAATTTATTATTACAAAGTCCATCGTATGTATACATTTTTTTTCCATATTATTGATTTTATGTGGATACATAACATTGTATAGTAAATATGTGGTACATATTTATTGCATAATTAAAGGGGGGTATAACTAACAATAAGTATACATATACTAATTGTAAGATGCAAGAAAAACAGATTAAGCTTCTTTATTTCGGACGTAATTTATTTTTATATAATTGAGAAAATTCGTGGCTTGATCATTTCAAACTTTGCTTTGTAATATGGAATTTTTAATTATATAAAGTCGTTTGATTTTATTGAAATAATTCGCACCTTTTGCTGTATTTCGGTCGCGATATTTTCTAATTTGTAGAGTCATTAATATTACTTTTCCAGCCATTTTACTATCCCTATGTCGAGTTCAATCACCGACACATACAATTTTCGTCGCAAGTTTAAATATTCTCTAAAATCATTTACGTAGAATCGTAATACTTATGGTACGGTTTAGCCATGGAATTTTACTTCGTGCAAACATTTTCGAATATTTGTAAACCGCGATATATTACGCGATTCTTAACATAGTAATAATTGCAAACTCTAATAACATTTTTATTTTTTTTACTTTTCACAAATTAATATCATTGTGTCGCACTATTCAGTACTGCGACGTAAAATAATCTTGATAATTATTGATATTTGTGTTAATGTA